AAAGGTGGTCAAGGGAGAGCCTCTCTGATAGAGACTCACTGAGCAGAGATCTAAGTGAGCAGACACGAGACCAGAAAGCCAGGGAGGAGTCTGAGTTCAGTGTATTCGGGTAACAGCAAGAAGGCCAGTAAGATGAAGCACGGAAGATCAGATCCTTGGAGGCCTCTGTAAGGATTCAGGGTTTGGTCCTGAGAGAGATTAGAACCCCTGGGAGTTCTGAGTGAAAGAGTTACATGATCTGAGGCATCCGACTGCTGTGTAGGGAACAGCAGTGGAGATGACTGAGTGGAACCAGGAACAGCAGTTAGGAGATCACTTACGACAATAAAAGGAACATATGACAGTGACTTGGATCCAGGCATAGCAGTATAAATGCTGAAAAGCAGTTATACTCTGGATATAGTTTGAAAAGATGTGCTCACGGAATAGATGTGGGAGGGTAAAAAAGAAAACAGAAAAACAACAGAAGAACAGAAATGATTCCCAGGTTTCTGGCCTGAGTAACTGAAAGGACAGTGTTGTCATAAATCGCTGGAATGAAGACTGAGGAGAACAGATTTAGGAGAGGAAATCAGGAATTCTACTTCTGACACATTAAGGTTAAGATGCCTATTACACATCCCAATTGATATGCTGGGTGAGAAGTAATGAGGAGCTACCATAAGGCTTCAGAGAAAACGGCTAAATGAGAACTGAGCTTCAGAAATTAACCTGGTTAATATCGGAGAAATTGAGCAGGTGGAGGAGGGGATTCACTGGCAGTCAGAAGTACACAGGAAAAAAATCTAGCTGCAGTGGTCAGGAGGACAACCTGAACTTCAAGGATGGCAATGAAAATGGATTGGGGCGGAGGTTCTCAATGGGGTCAACACTATCTGGGGGTATTCTGGAAATTCACTGAAATACTGTTGTTATCAAAATGGTTGGGAGGCACTTCTGGCAATAAGTGAGGGAAGAGGCAAGACTGTCACATCTCCTGTAATGTTTAAGATAGCCCCCCAACCCCCCACCCTCCCACACATACAGAGGGTCTTATAAGCTACTTCCTTTCAAATGACTCACTACATCTCCATACTTGTGACAAACCTGACTATAATCATCCACGCTTAGATTCCAACTTCATTTTACAGATAAAGTATTTTCTGAACATTCTACCATACACTGAATTTTCCAGGAATGTAGCTACTATGGAAAATGAGAACAGAAAACACTTTCTTTGATGTGAAGCTTTTGTAAGAAATTTCACCATTTTGAAAACCCACACCACGGATAATAATGCTGCTTCTAATATTTAAGTCACTAACACAATACATGTATCCCATGTTATATGTGTAGGTGTCACATAAATACAATACAGAAGAGATTTGAGATGCTTTTGGTAGACTTGAAACCAAATATTAAGTTAACATGTGAAATATTAAGACATGAAATACAGGATTTTCACAAATCAAAGTTGTTTAAGAAGTTATTGTGGTCATTTTATGTACTGCTAATTTTTATAGCACAATGATGAGAAATCTATCTTGCAATAATTATTTGAAATTAAACTTACTTATTTGAGGACTGCCTGTCATCTTTAAATCTTACTCTGAAAGTGTCACCAGAGGCCCACCTCACTTCCTTTAACCACTCTTACTACCATTTCTGTTTCCAATCCACCCACATAGATCAAAGGAACAGAAATGAGAACTCAGAAATAAATCTACACTTATATGATCAACGAATCTATGACAAAGGAGGCAAGAATACACAAAAGGGAAAAGACAGCCTCTTCAGTAAATGATGTTGGGAATACTGGACAGCTAGCTGCAAAAGAATCAAAATGAACTATTTCCTCACACCATATACAAAAATAAACTCAAAATGGATCAAAGACTTAAATGTAAGGCCTGAAACTATAAAACTCCTAGAGGAAAACTTCAGCACCACACTCTTCAACATCAGTTTTAGCAATATTTTTTGGATATGTCTCCTAAGGCAAGGGAAACAAAAGCAAAAATAAATAAATGGGACTATATAGAACCAAAAAGCTTTTACACAGTGAAGGAAACTCTCAACAACCAAAAAAGCAGCCTACTAAAATGGGAGAATATATTTGCAAACAATATATCCAATAAGGGGTTGACATCCAAAATATATAAAAATACACACAACTCAGTAGCAGCAACAAACAAACACCCAATTAAAGAATGGGCAGGGGACCTGAAAACATTTTTCCAGAGAGGAAATGCAGACAGCCAACAGACACATGAAAAGACACTCAATATCACTAATTATCAAGGAAATGCAAATCAAAACCACAGTGAGACACCACCTAACATATTTCAGAATCATTATCATCAAAAAGGCAACAAATAAGCGCTGGTGAGGATGTGGAGAAAAGGGAACCCTTGTGCACGGCTGGTGTGACTGTGAATGGGTGCAGCCACTATGGAAAACAGTTATGGAGGTTCCTCAAAAAATCAAAAATAGAACTTCTATACGACCCAGCGATTTTACTACTGAACATTTATCCAAAGAAAACAAGAACAGTAATCAGAAAAGATACATGTACTCCAATGTTCAATGCAGCTTTATTTACGAGAGCCAAGATACAGATGTAAACTTAGTGTCTATAGATAGAGGAATGAATAAACAAACTGTGATATAGATAGATATATATAGACACACACACATACATACATGCACACAGTAATATTACTCAGCCATAAAAAGAATGAAATCTTGACGTTTGCAGCAACATGGATGGACCTTGAGGCTACCATGGTAAGTAAAGTAAGTCAGAGAAACAAAGACAAACACCACATGAACTTAGTTCATATGTGCAATCTATAAAACAAAACAAACAAATAAAATGAAAACAGACTCAGATACAGGGAATCGGTCATGGTCAGAAGGGAGAGAAGGGAGGGGAGAGAGGGTGGACAAAATAGGTGAAGGAACTAAGAGGTTCAAACCTCCAGTTTTATAATAAACAAATCACAGGGATACAATATACAACAGAAGGAATATCATCAACCAAGTGTAATAACTTTGTATGGGGACATATGGTTACTAGACTTATTGTGGTGAGCCTTTCATAATGTAGGCAAATGTCAACTATGTCATATGCCTGAAACTAACATAATATTGTACATCACTGCATTTTCATCAGAAAACACAATAATTCTAATGATATCCTATTTGTACCCATGGGAATTTAATTCACAAGGGTGACTGAGTGCCAACACAGGCCAATGCTATTGAAGGAAGATATTACTTACATATTCTGAGAGAAAGGCGCACATTCAGGAGGCAAAGGGAAGTGAGGGGAAAGCCTGGGCCACAGCCCTTACTGGAGTCTCCTTAGGACAGGAAAGGCAGAGCAGGGTGAATGATGCTGGACTGGCTGATATGAATTATTCCAGTGGGCTCTGGACTACAGGGCTATCTCTAGCTTTCTGTATCAGGCCCTGGCATGATTTAGGGCAGGGAAGATATTGGCTTGGTGTGTGAGAGAGTCAGATAAGGAGGTAGCTGAAGGCTATGATTTAGAATCACAGATGAAAGGTATGTTCAAGGCAAGCTGCTGTTAATCTTTAGGAATTAGCCCTGGGAGGGGCAGTCTCTATGAGCCTGCCAGAGCATCAAGAATACAGAAAATAAGGACCTCCCTGGTCCAGGGGTTGAGAATCCACCTGTCAATGCAGGGGAAACGGATCTGATCCCTGGTCCAGGAAGATTCCACATGGCCCAGGGCAACTAAGCCCATGCGCCACAACTGCTGAGGCACTGTGCCCTAAAGCCCATGCCCCACAACAAGAGGAGCCACGCAATGAGAAGCCCGTCCACCACAACCAGAGAGTAAGTAGCCCTTGCTCGCCGCAACTGGAGAAAGCCCATGCGTGGCAACAAAGACCCAGTGCAGCCAAAAAAGAAAAACAATAATAATAAAATATTTTTTTAATACAGAAAGTAAGAAATTATAGTTATGTAATTGGCCCTGAGGTAGAGATGACAAATAGACAAATACAGAACATAAGAAAACAGAATAAATATATACAACAGAAATTCATAGATTGATCCTAAAATGTATATGGAAATACAAAAGACTCAGAAGAGAAGAAACAATCTTGAAAATTAAAAACCAAGACAGAGAACTTACACTGCATGATTTCAAACTTATTACAAAACCACAGTAATCAAGCCAATTGTGATACTGCCTTAAGGACAAACACATCAATGCAACAGAATAAGAGTAGTCCAGAAACAGGCCTTCCTATATACAGCTGACTGACTTTTCTACAAAGACCTAAAAGTAATTCAGTGGTGAAAGGAAAATCCTTCTTAACAAATGGTGCTAAAACATCAGAATATCCATGTAGGTGATAGGTGGTGGAAAGGAACAATCTTGATCCTTACCTCACACCATTCATATAAATTAATTCAAGCCCTAAACATAAAGGTTAAAAGTATATATGAAGCTTCCAGAAGAAAACATATCTTTGTGACCTTCAAGTTGACAAAGACTTCTTAACATATGAAAAGTACTAACCAAAAGAGAAAAAAGGATAAATTAGACTTTATTCACATTAAAAACTTCAAAGGATACCATTAGGGAAATGAAAGAAGAAGCCACAGACTAAGAGAAAATAACAACAGTGTGCATCAGGCAAAACTCTCATATCCACAATATATAAAGAACTCCTACAAATCAATAATACAAAGTCAAACAATTCAGTTTGGGTAAAATACCTCAACAGAGGTGGCAAGGGCTACTGTCCAGAGACAGTCATAAGTAAACTTGTAGGGGTGAGGAAAACAGTCTACAGCTTAATTCAGGTGTTTGATAAGAATTTTTTATATCCATCAAAATATGCTAACTCATGTAACTAATTCATTCAAAATCATTACACTTTATTAAATGTAAATTAACCCTTTAAAATGGTAAAACGCATTGCATATAACAGCCATATAAAAGCTGCCTAAAACAGAAATAATATTTGAACAAAAACAAATACCTTTGTCCATCTGCAAAGCTTCACCCCAGAGTGGCTCCCAATCAACTGATAACCTGAATGAAAAAACAGGGAACACAAAATTGAAATGATTCAAAGCCTTATATCAAAGTGATTTTATATATATGTATATTATTATACAAGTGATTATAAAACTGTAGCAAAGTCATTTTTCTTCATTTAAATAATAATAGACAACAATCCCCAAGGCCACTAAGGTTTAATTGACCAGGACAATACAACAATTTAAAATACGTATGCCTCTAATAACACAGGCTCAAAATACATAAAGAAACAATAAGCCAATCCAAAATCACAGGAAGTGATTTTAAGATCTCTCAGTATCTAACAGATCTCATAGGTCAAAACTCAGTGGAACCCCACGATCTGAAGCAACAAAGTAAGCTTGATCAAGGGCACAGAGAGAGAGACTGCACTCAACAACTACAGGATGTACATGCTTTACAAGTTCCCAAGGAACATTTATATAGATAAAAAAGAACCAGGTACTGCAACAAACAGCAAAAGCAAGGAACCATACATTTCTGTACAAAAAATGACTGGGGAACTGTCACCAATAATCTTCAAAAATAAATAAGGAATCAGATGGGCAAGAGGAGATTAAAAGAAAGAAATATTTTCCTTAAAAGTGGGAAAATAAAATTCTAGGAACCTGACATGAATTCTCAGCACCCTCCACAACCTAGCATTAAATTTTTTGAGCCACATGAGACATGAAAAGCATGGAAAAGCTATGCCAAAGCAATCACATTTCCTTATTTTAACACACTGATGGAGCAAACAAGTAGAACATACTGATTTCAGAAAGCATTTATAAGTTTCTCATGAGGCTTCAAGTAATAAACCACAATTACCATGAGTCTCTTGCACAAAAAGACCCTTGACTTGCAGACAAATGAGGTAAATGGAGAAATACAGCCTGGATGATGGCATAAGTGGATCAGTGGCTGGTTAAACACCCACGTTCACAGTGTGATGATTAATGGAACAAAGTCAATTTGGATTACAAGTCTCTAGTGGCAATATTATGAGGCTTTGTCTTTTATCCTCTTCCACATTTATGTAAACATCTTGCATATAAATAAAGAACTGCTTATCTACTTGAAGATGGAACCAAGTCCAAATGAATAGCTAATCTCAGATACAGAATAAGCATTTTATAGATTCCTGGAGAAAATTCTAGCTTTTTTGGACTCCTACATTATATGTTGCTCACAGCACTATCATAGAAACCACACTCTACTAGTTTTTTACATCTTTCTCTCCCAAGATACACAGGGTTCTACAAAACTCTGCATTTGGGTAGGTAAAGACTGCATAGCACAGGATGAAACAACCTTAGTTGACCACAGTTCACACTATGCAGTTGCTAAGAATCCAAGTGCAGGATTTTTCTTCTTCCCAAGATGGAGTAACAGAGGGTTTACCCCCACTTGAAATACCAAAACTGGACAAAACAGATGAAACGACAGTTTTCAAGACATGAAACATCTGGCAACAAAGGACAATGATCCAACAGAGATGGGAAACAAACAAGGTTGAGACTTACCATTACCCAAGCTTATTGTCTTGGAAGTTTACAGGCTATGCAGCAGGAGGGAGAACCTAAGTAGAGCTCAGCATCCTCCCTGCGCTGAGAACACAGAAGTAGAGTCTAGGAAACCCCTGTGGCTAAAGTTTGCAGGATTGAGTTCAGCGGAGACAAGGGCTACAGAGACTGAACTCTGCAGAGGATTCCTATACTGCTTAGTGCATACATGAGAGAAAAACTACCTAACAATGGGAAAGGACCATCTGAAAAGATTAAAAGCATGCCTGGTACTCACAGCCAGCTGGGAACTGTGCCTGTTCCTACCAGGCAGACAGATAACCTCAAGATTCCCAAGGCACTGGACAGAGCACATAGACGGGTTCTGCCTCAATGGTGGGGGGAAAAATTACTGCTGGTCTCATCCAACAAATCATAAAAGCAAGATTAAAGGGCTCAAGCTGTTTCAAAATAGTTTATCTTTGTCCCAGAATAAATCTCAAAAATGTTTTCAGGAATACAAAAATATCCAGCACTCCAAAAGGTAAAATTAGATCTGATATCCAATCAGATACCAGACTCATTAGAAAAGACCCTGATGCTGGGAAAGACTGAAGGCAAAAGAAGAAGAGGGCAGCAGTGGATGTGATGGTTGGATGGCATCACTGATTCAATGGACATGAACTTGGGTGAATTCCAGGAGATAGTGAGGGACAGAGAGGCCGGGCATATTGTAGTCCATGGGTCACAGAGTTAAAAACGACTTAGCAAGCAAACAACAATAACATCCAAAGATTACCAAGCATGCAAAAAAACTCGGAAAATATGACCAGTAATGAGGAAAACACTCCAGTAACAAAAACTGAATCAGTTAAAATTGTATTCCATAGACTTCAAAAGTTAAGTGGAGACATGGAAGATAGAAAAAGACCTAAACTGACCTTCTAGAGATGAAAACTACCTCTAAGTTGGAACATACACTGGATAGAAGTAATGAAAGATTCAACATTAGAGAAGAAAAGATTACTGAGTCAAACTTGAAGACAGCAATAGAAACTATCCAATAATGTATAGCAGGACAGACAAAATAGTTTTAAAATATGAAAAATACATCTGTGAGCTGTGGGTCAAATTCTAGAGGCCTATTTATTGGAGTCCCCAGGGAAGAGGAAAGAGACAGGGTAGCGGAAAAATACTTGAAGAAACAATGGTCAAAATTTGTCCAAATTCAATTAAAACTACACATCCACAGAAGTAAGAACCTCAACAAATCTCAAATAAATAAACATGAAGAAAGCTACATTGAGACATAATTAAAATCACTCAAAATCAGTAGTTAGAAGAAAATCTTAAAATTAGCCAGGGGGTAAAAAACATTACATTTGAAAAGAACAAGCAAAAGATGACTACAGAGGCCTCATGAGAGGCAATGTGAGCCACTGGACAGTGGAACAACACCCGTCAAGTGCAAAAAAGAAGAAAACTGCCAACCTACAATTTTGAGGGCTGGAAAGAGCCCCTAGAGGAGGCCATGGCAACCCACTCCAGTGTTCTTGCCTGGGAAATCCGTGGACACTCTGAGAAGCCCAGCAGGCTACAGCGCATGGAGTCACAAAGAATTGGACACAACCGTGAAACTTCATAATTCTAGACACATCAATAAATATCCTTCAAAAATTAAATAACAAAAAAAACCTTCAAAAATGAAGGCAAAAGAAAGTCTTCTTCTGATATACAAAAGGTGAAATAATTCACCAGCAAGCCCACACTACAAGAAATGCTAAAAGGAGTCCTCCAGGCAGAAAGAAAAGGCCATCAGACAGAATATGGATCTACACAGAGGAATGCAAAGTACCAAGAGTGGAAACTACATGAGTCAATATATAAGATTTTTTCCTAATTACTTAAATGTGTAATAGATAAATGGCTGTTTGAATCAAAAGAATAACAATGTACTACAGGGCTGAAAACATATGTAAAAGTAAAATGTATGAAAGCAACTGCATAGAGGTTTGTGGGGAAGAAACAGAAGTATTGAAGGTTCTTCTACTTTACATAAAGTTGTGTAACACCATGTGATGATATACTGTGATACCGGACAGTATAAAACCTCAAGAAACCACTAATGAACAAAACAAAGCTACAGTTAAGCCAACAAAGCAGGATCATTAAAAAAAGAACTAAAAGAAGATAGTTAAGAGAAAGGAAATCAAAGAATCCACCAGACAAGTAGAAAACAAACAGCAAGATGACAGATTGAAACCTATTATAAAATCACTTTCATTTACTCTAATTAAAAGACACAGGGACTTCCCTGGTGGTCCAGGGCTTAAGACTTCACCTTCTCATGCAGGGGTGTGGGCTGGAGCCCTGGCCAGGAAGCTAAGATCCCACATGCCTTGTGGCCAACAAAACCAAAACAGAAAACAGAAACAACATTGTAACAAATTCAATAAAGACTTTTAAAATGGTCCACGTTAAAAAAAAAAAAACTTAAAAGTTAAAAAAAGAAAAAGCATATGTATCTCTGTGTACAAAATCTGTATATTCTTGTCTGTCTCCTCTAATAGGTCCAGAGTTCCGTGAAGGAGATAACTTCAAGCATCTTAAGTTCCTCTGTACAACCAAATCTATCACATAAAAGGATCTCAATAATTATAGAAAGAGGGAGGGAGGTAAGGAAGTCAGTCTACTCACCCCCAATTTATTCTTCTTCCTTCTACAAGCAAACCAGGATTATTCATTCATTCAACTGCAGCCTTCTTTATAAGGTAGGACCACAAAAATCCACACATACTTCTACATAAAACATTTCTAATTAACCCAGCCTAACATCATATGGTCTTTTTTTGCATTTAATAATTTTTTAATAGACAATGATATGTAAAGAAGCCAGTGACTGCATCTTCCATCTGCATACCTGAGCCTCACTGATGGTCAAGTACCAACCCAATAAACCAAGCAGAGAGGAAGCTTGCTGGTCCAAGCAGCCCACACAACAGTGATCCACAGAAACAAGACTGTGGCTCCCTAAACAGCTACAGTTGCCACGGCCACACACAGCTGAGCCAACCTTAGCGGGGCTTATCTTTTTTCCTCTTGGCAATCCCTATTTTATGTTTCCTTTTTTAAGTGATAAATGAGAACACTTAAGGGCTTTCCCATGGCTCAGTGGTAAAGGATCCGCCTGCAATGCAGGAGCTGTGGGTTCGATCCCTGGGGTGGGAAGATCCCCTGGAGGAGGAAATGGCAACCCACTCCCGTATTCTTGCCTGGAGAATCCCATGGACAGAAGAGCCTGGCAGGCCATAGTCCACAGGGTCACAAAGAGTCAGACACAACTGAAGAGACTTAGTATGCATGCACTCAGAAGGCTTAAGAGTGTAGCACTGTAACAGTTCCTGAGGACTTTCACCTTGTTTAGTAAGGGCTTCTCGGAGAGCAGGAGTGATCATAGCTCTTCTTTCACTGGCTTCGCTCTTTACCGTGCTTCTGGTCACACCCGTTTCCCCTTCCTGTTGCTCCTTTTCTCTCTATATTAAAAAGAAATGAATGAAACCCAGCATTGGTCATGTGCGGGGGAAATAAGAGCAAGACAGTCGTCCACACATGGCATGGATAAAAGTGCTCCTCACAAACCTGTTTTCTCCCAAGTGATCACATTTCCAGTCCCACAGTGAGCTAAAAAAATACCAGCACCTTTTCTTTCCCCTATAAAAGGTGACTACATAGTCAAACACACATATTTGCAAAACATAAATTGATAATCCACTTATCTGGATGTCAAACAGTGTTCACAATCTGAGTACAGACAGCTGCCCAACTTTCACAAGTTATTTCTCTGAATTTCAATTTTTTCACCTGAAAAGGAAGAAAATATCCATGGAGCAGGATTGTGTTGAAGATTAAATGAAATGAAATGACCTGGCATGATGCCTGATACATCATAGGACTTCACTAAATTATGGCTACTGCTGATTGTAACATCTGCAAACCCCCCAAAAAAGTTCAAAAATCACTCTGAGCTGCCCAGACAGCCATCTGCTCACAAGTCAAGTTAGTCAACCACCTCCACCTGTAGCCCCAAAGCCTTCTTTTAGAAGATCCCATGGTGGAAATTTGTCTTCGGTGATAGAAATCTGAAGGATAATATAAACCTGGCTTTCCTTTTGCCTCTGACCACTAGAAAATTCACAGCCCAGCTCTGATCGCTGCCTCAGACCTTGCATCGTGCTTGTCCTATAGTCTCCGTCAGTGACATCATATTACAATGACCCTCATTCACTATTTCCATTGATTTCTTCCTCTCTTCTTGTTTTTTTTAAAGAGGCAAGATAGTAGCTACATGAGAGACTCCTTTTTATTTCCTTATTTTTAATATTTATTTATTTGGCTGTTGGGTCTCAGCTGTGGCACGCAGATCTTCATTGCATCACGTGGCATCCTTCTTTGTGCTGCATGGACTTCCTCGTTGTGGCCCCAGGGCCACAGACTTAAGCTGTTCTGCAGCATGTGGGATCTCTGTTCCGCAACTAGGGATCCAACCTGCATTCCCTGCATTGCACAGCAGATGCTTAACCACTGGATCATCAGGGAAGTTCTTGATTTCTTCTCCTCTTTTTAAATCTCATTACATATGTATACATGTATACATGTGTATACAGTGTCTTTCTGGAAGATGGTTTAAATGCTCATCAATAATTATGAGACAACACACAAAGACTTGTGCCACACTTTAAAGGAGACACTCATCAGACCTCACTAAGAGCTACAGAAATCCAAAATAACTCACCTGGGCAGAAACCCTACCACCAAGCCCTAAACCACCCTCAGGACCTGTCCATTTTCCATGTCCCGCCCCCAGTGAATCAGTGAAGACACTCACAGCAATGCCCCTTGCTACCTAAAAGAAACAGCTCACAGATGACATACTGTCTCAGGTTTATGTCAAACTAATACAGAAAGGAGAAAGATGGTCCATGTTTGAAGCTGGGCAGGAAGGGAATAGGGATTTGCTGTCTCGTTCTGTCTATTATAGAGAATGCTCAAAGTTCTCTATTCATAAAATATAAAACAAGATTAAACATTAAAAAAGAAAGAGAGGGACTTCCCTGGTGGTCCAGTGATTAAGAATCTGCTTGCCAATTCCAGGACAGAGGTTTGATCCCTGCTCCAGGAAGATCCCACATGCCACGGGGCAACTAAGCCGGTGCCCCACAACTACTGAGCCCATGTGCTGCAACTACTGAAGCCCACATGCCCGAGAGCCTGAGCTCTGCAACAAGAGAAACCACAACAATGAGATGTCCACACACTGCAACCAGAGAGTAGCCCCGCCCCGGTCACCACAACTAGAGAAAGCCCTCACACAGCAATGAAGACCCAGCGCAGCCAAAAATAAATAAAATTCTTTTTTTAAAGAAAGAGCAAGTACACCAATGAAATTCAGAATTAACCTCTCTACCTTCTATTGTTCCAGGGACGTTTCCAAAATAGGAAGTCAGTGAAAAAGCACGTTAGAGTAGTCAAATATACTAAATGAGACACCCAAATCCCACAGTGAGTTTATACACGTCCTAAAAGTTAGCATTCCAGATCATTAAATATAATCAAACAGCAAAGTTAATGAAAAGTTTTACTGCTGCTAATAGAGCTCTCCAAGACACTTTTCCAGATGGAACTAAAAAAATTTATAAACAAACATCAATCATTTGTTCTTATCTATTAGGAAAGTAATCAATTTTAATGCTGGGCATTTGCTTTAAAAAATGTACAGCTATGATTTTGCTAAAATATTTAAAAATAAAAGAATTCTTTGGCTTTTTTTAAAGTCTATTTCAGACCCCAAAGCAAAGATGTGAGCTTGAGAAGGAAGTCTCATGGTGGAGCAAAGTGAACTAACCTTGACCTTGAGAGTATTTAAATGTCTCTGAAGTCATTCCACAGCAAGTTACTGTAATTCCCTACTCCATGCCAGAATTGACAGTAGGTGGCAATAGCTGGCCTCCAAAGCCTGTCACTGTAAAACATCACCAGCTTATCTTCTTACCCTCAAGGCCACACAAATCCAAAGCTGGACCCAGCATGACACTGGCCTCTGACCACCATGCTCAGAGCTCCACAGACAACCCCTTATGGTTTTATGAACTATTTTTTTGGTTGTACTGGGTCTTTATTGCTCCACAAAAGCTTTCTCTAGTTGCAGTGAGTGGGGGCTATTCTTCATTGTGATGTGCGGGGGTTGCCTGGATTTCTCACTGGGGTAGCACTTCTCACTCTCTTGTTGCAGAGTATGGACCTTGGACCATGTGGGCTTCAGCAGTTGTGCACACGGGGTTAGTTGCTCTGCCATATGCAGAATCTTCCTGGACCAGGGATTGAACTCATGTCCCTGCAGGCAGATTCCTATCCACTGTACCACCAGGGAAGTCCACCCTTCTGGTTTTAAACATAAACTTCTAACCCCTATATAATGAACACACTCTTTAAAGAATGGCCATGGGACACCATCCACGTCCCATCACTGGAGAAATTATCTATTATAAATCGTGAGCGCAGCTACTCCAGATTCAATCATCTGAACATATAGTTCATATGGAAAGAGATGGGCAGCTGTGATTAAAGGTCTTGAGCATCCAGGACAAACATTCTTCATTCCTTCCCTCTATGGCAAGTTAATTCTATCTTCCCTATGCAACAGTAATTTCCTTTCTGAAAAGATATACAATGGTTCATAACACTCTCCAAGGAAGTGCAGAGCCCCTTTCAAATTCTAATTCTAATCTCCTAGGTGCAGACATTTTTCCCTGTTTGCCCAGACTATAACAACTGACACAGGGCCTCTATATTTTTATTTATTTTTTTATAGCCCTTTCATAGGCTGAGCAGAAATAAATGAAGGTCCCAGAACTGGTCAATCTGGATTCCTCCCTCTCCTGCAACCCCACTGAACAACAACTGACCAAATTCTAAACTTTTAATTCCCAACCTATGAGTCCTCTCCATCCAACATGTCACAGCTTCTGACCACAGCCATGGTTTCCTCTAAGGAACAACTACAACGGCCGAACTCAAGTCTCCTTGTCTCCAGCCTTTCACACCTTCCCAACAGTCAAACCCGTCATGCTTGTCTTGAAAGAAAATCCCTGGTAGTCAGGTGGTTAAGAATCCACCTGCTAATACGGAGGATGTGGGTTCGATCCCTGGTCCAGGAACTAAGATCCCACATGCCATGGGGCAACTAAGCCTGTGTGCCACAACTAGTGAGCCCACATGCTGCAACTACTGAAGCTCGAGAGCCCTAGAGCCTGTGCTCTGCAACAAGAGGATCCACTGCAATGAGAAGCCCACGCACCGCAACTAGAGAAGGCCATGCAGAGCAACAAAGACCCAGCACAACCAAAAATAAATAACTTTTTTTTAAAGTTAATTAAAAAAAAAAAAAACGCATGCCCTCTCCAAGCTGCTATTTCCTGACATGCAAAATGAAAAGCCGATTATAAGTTCACCTCCTAGGCACTTGGGAAAATGACTATAAATAAGTGAAAAGTTCTTTCTAAACAGGCAGCAATATATGAATCTGACATATAATTAAGGGGAGCCAAAAAGTAGTACAAATTCTCTTTATTTAAAAAAAAAGATATTATACAATATTACCTAATTCATCTTCACATCTTCATCCCAGAAACCACAGTACCACCCCAATACTGCCTAGGATAAAAACAGGACAAACAGGCATTTGTTTTAAGATTTTAAGATAAAAGTTCCATCTAGTTGGTTAAATGCCAAACAGATGTATTGCAGCAAGCAGGCCATCTTTCTGATTGATTAAATTGTTTAAGTCTGTCTGTTTGGGTTTTCTCATATTCATTTACTTATTCATTTGGCTGCATAGGGACTTAGTTGCTCCACAAACTCGTGGGGTCTTGGTTCACCAACCAGGGATCAAATCAACATGTGCTTCGATGGAAGACAGTCTTAACCAATGGACCATCGGGGAAGTCCCTGTTTGGTTATTTTATTGATCTTTGTTTACGATCCAGTGACTCCCTTCAATACCAATTCATGCAGAAAACACTGAATATAGAATCCCCAGTTAAGGTCATTCTCCCCTGCAATCAGCCTGAAGCCAGGCCGGCACAGCCAACATTGATATTCAGGAAATGCTGGCTGAATAAATGAATAAATGCCTCAGAGCTACCAGATAGCTATTTCCAGCTTTATAAGAGCAGATCTGGATTCTAAACCAGGCAACTTTCAATAGTAAAAACCCTTCCTTGAGTGTAACTACAACTCCACCTTCTGCAATACTTCTAAGTGTTCTTAATCCTCTAATAAAGGAATCACCCACACACCACTCACCTGTCATAGGTGAGTTTTTAAATGACCAATTTCCAACAAGACTCAAAGCTTTCTGGGTACACTAGGTTTTAAGGATGCTTTTGGAACATTTCAAAAAGCACTTTGACCAGGTGTGTCAAGAGCTTTAAAATGGCTTTCCTCTGGCCTCATAATTCTATTTTGGATAACCTGA